TCACCTGTTTACAGTGTTTTGAGAGCCCAGAGACTTCGATCATCAATTCAACACACCATCTTCCCCGATGTTTAATCTCTCCTCCTTAGTCTCCTACTGCCTGCCACCCAGGTGCAGCCGGACCATCACTCAACAACTCAAATCATTGCCTCTGTCAGTTAACAAATTCCGGACGGAGCCTTCTCCGAGCAGACAAATGTGGGGCCATCAGTGCTGCCCAAATGCGAATTGTATTTATCAGCCGTCAGAATGCGAGTGCTTAGCTGCTTCTACAGGGTCGCTGCTGCTGCCTGCCTGCTGCCTGCCGGCCTGATATTTTAAATCCTGATCAAATCTGACGGCCGCAGCATTTCAACTCTCAGGAGACATATCTTTTTCTTTTTTCTTTTTTTTTTTTTTTTTTTTACAACTTCCAGAGTATTCCAGAGCTACAACAGAAGGAAAACACACACACACACACACACACACACACACTGAAGACATTTGCATGCTTAAAAATCCCTCACATCCTACAGGCCTCCAAAGTAATTACATTCACAGCGATGGAAACTGCGCACATGGTATTGAGATTATATTCACTTGAATAGAAAGAAATTGAGGGGCAGTTAGCGCATGAAATGACTGGAAATATACAGAAGAAGAGAAGTGCATGCTTTTGTTTCCAGACATTATCAGTTTTGAAGGCTCCAGCTGCCACATAGACGTGTTGGTAGGGAACAACAGCCGTGCAGTGCGTATGTTTTCTTGTCATAGTGACAGATCACAGTTCCCTTAACTGGGTAATATGATTTCACTTCATTTCCGCACACACAGTTTCAGGCTCTCATCATCTGTAGGCTAATATGAAGTACACATTTCCTGTCTGACACATTATAGCCTGAATGAAACAGAAGCACTGACATCAAATAAATTATTGAAGAAAGTGATTTGAAATATTGTGTAAGATTGTGAGATTCAATAGTTTGAATTACCATTTAAATGTCTTTTTTTTCATTATACTGCTGTCTCTTAAAAATAACCACATGTTCCACAGTTGCCAAGATTGATGCAAGAATGACTGATTTCAAGCTGTTGTAATGCCAACCTGCCATCCTTAAAGAGCATCAAAATAATGTGATAATGAGCTACCACTCTGCTTGTGGAAGACATCCTGCTGCTACAGCCAGGCTATACAAGGCAGTCACGCAGGGATAGCTACCCCAGTGTCTTGCATTTGAATGTGTGTGTATGCAGGTGTGTAACAACAGAGTAAGCTGATACGGATTTTCTGCTGCCTTCATCATCACTTGAAGTCAACCCTCCGGCCAAATGGGTGTGGATTTCTCTCTCTCTCTCTCTCTCTCTCACTCACTCTCACTCTCTCTCTCTCTCCCACTGTCTGTGTGTCATGAGTGTGAAACACACATACAAACACACATATATGTCGATATTTCTGTATGTGCATGCATGTCCATATCTGTCTATGTGCTTGCATATGTATTAGTGTGTGTGGATGTGTTATCCGTGGCCCTGATGTGCTTTACATCTAAACAATGAGAACATTTGCATAGAGCGCTCTAATCTTGCTCCTGCAGGCCACTAATTTTGCTAAAAATGTCAATGGTAAGGCGATCACAATCACACTGTTAACCTCAGCCTCAGGCACGTATTCATCACCCTGATAAACATTTTATAGTTTGGTTCATTTTCATTGTAGTGACAGTAATCATCAGCTGGTATTCAGTTTGCACTGAGACAAAGCCAAGATCCATTTACTGGACAGAAACAACCCACAGAGCATAATTATGACTCTTATTAGATCTGCAGCACCTGATAATTCACTGGCGCATTGAAGGCTGTCCTCGAGAAACATCAACAACATCAATCAATCCTGCATGATTATCTGAGGCAGCAAACCCACCAAAATCCAGCAGATCAATACTACAGAGGAAACAAATAATAAGGCACAGTGTGGGATCACAAAGGTGGGGTCAAGATGCATTTTTAAGAGTTCTTTTTTTTATTTTATCACCATGTTGGCAAAGCTCAGGCTTGCTGGAATGTATTGATCTTGGGCTGAATTTCAAAAACAGAGACAATGCTGGCAAATTATCTGAATTACATGACCTGAGTGCCTGTTCATCATTTTGATCTACCCTGTATTTCCTGCAAGGCTCAGCCTAAATGACAGATTTTGGGACGCCTTGGTGCCTGTTAATGGCAGCAGCACACACCTGAATGCAACATGCTGATGAGAATATTAAGGGGCTATACTTAGTTTGATCCCAGTCAGAAGCCTTTATGCCTCCAGTCTTGTCTGGCCAGTATATTTGATGTGTATACGAGATGAAAAGTGTAACCCCCAGCGTTAGCGTTCATGGACTGCATGGAAAGGTGCCAAAATAAAAAAGAAGGGATCTTTAGAAATAACTTACCCCGAGGATGACTGTATCTTCTCCTTGAAATATTGGGATGAACTTATCTCCGCGGATAATTTCGGATTTGTTCAGTGGACGAAATCGACACAACACCTTGATATTGCATTCTGCATCATCAGCCATTGTGGAAAAAAATTATGTACGCGCTCCCAGAAGAGAAAGAGGAATTTATAAAAGATTATTTTAGAAAAAAATCCCTGTGCGATGTTTTCCCGCAAACCACCTGGACGCAGTTTGAAACCATCGGCTATACCCACATGCAAAGCGAGACTTGCAGGCGAGGCATTCGGAAGAATGGACTACTACGACTTTTGGGAGAGACTACAGCCAAATTCATTGAAGAAATATACAACGAAAACAAAATAAAGCCCCTTTGAAAGAGTTTCTGGTTTAAAATGTCCTCAACCCAAACTCAGGTGCAGTTGAGCGGTGGGCAACAAATGGAGAGTTGTAAATGGGGAGTACAGTCCACACTGGTCCGGTCGACAGTGTCGAGAGGCTGCAGGCTCCTCAGGAGCATGCCTTGCATCACTGTCATCCCTGCTCTCTCACTGGGGGCGGGGCGTGGTAAAGTAGCGACTCAAATCCTCTCTCATCAGCACCACTGAGCAGAGGGGCCGAGGAGCAGGGAGAAGAGCTCCAACTCTGCCTTTTATTCCTACTACCACATTTCTTCTGGCGTTGAAGTTGTGAGACCTTTAGTTTTAACCAAATGTCAGCAAATTGCGCAAAAGCTGAAACTATTGCCAGCATCTGGTGAGGTATTTTCTGTGGCCAGTAGGCTAGTTGGGAGAGTTGAGTAGAGCATTTCTTTTTTTCAGGTATGCACCAGACTTGTCGTCATGGTAATGCTATTTTGCATGACTGGATTGTGATTAGGGAACCAAAGGCTCCATCATGTTTGCTCAGAGATTTAAAGGGCTCTCCATTGTTGTAGCAATGCACTGCCTGGGAACCTGCATGACAGATTACAGAAATCAAAGTCAAACATATCCTGATTTGTATTCTTTAGTATGGGTCAAGTTTTTAAAGAAAATGCTGGATTTTGCACTTTCCATGCTGAAACTGTATCTTTCGTCAGACCCTCCCTGCCTGGTAAATGCCAAGGTCCTTCAAACTCCACAACCCAAGTTTGGATCACAGACTTTGTCTTATAAAGTCTCTAGTCCACAGCTGTATAATGTCTTCTGAGCCACAGAAGAGCTGTCACTTTGGAAGAAAACTTCACTTTACCTCGAAGGCACAAGGCAAGAATTGCAGTAAGAATGAATAAGTATTATAATAGTAATAGTTAATCAGAAGTGTGATAATCCAACTCTGTATGTGACAGACTATACCCCAAGAAATAGACCTTAATATCCAGAATTTTGTGCCATATTGTATGAGATTGCATTGAAGCTTATTGGGCCTACATTCTCACTGTTCTTTGGATTTGTTTGCCTGTAATAATTCTTACTTTTAATAACTAGTCCCATTGTTCTAGTTGAAGTAGCTTGAAGGTAGCCTACAAATTAGATGAATCGTCTAATCATGTGTTAGTCAGCAGGAGGAGTTATGAGAAAAATCATTGGCTGTCAATGAAAAGAAGAGGAGCTGATTTCTCAAAACACATTTTACTTTGTCTGTAATTTTGTGACAGCTTGTCAAACACATGTCTACCAGTATTGTATGAAAGACTGCTACCAAGTTAGCTGTTAATGTATGACACTAATGATGCCACTTTCATTGTAATTATTGTAATAAAATATAATGTGCAGTATGTTACATATTTTCACACATGACTAGTCAACATGCATTCATTTTGCTTGCAGTAATTTAATAATTAATCTAAGACATGTAATTCATATTACTATGAAATATGTTTTCATAGTATTAAACAAATGTGACATAGGGGTTAGAATAGCATGGTAAAACGTTATTATTATTTTTTTATTTTAAAAAACGGGAGTTTTAGAAATAAATATATTTCGAGTTTCTCCTCTAATATGACCCCCAGTTTGCCAACTTTATGTGTAGATATAAATAAAGAATAGGTAAAAATTGAAGAACATTGTAGCATAAATAATTATGATATTAACTGAAACAAGAAACACACAGGAGTGCTTTGTGATACTTAACAACCGCTTTAGGGAATGTGGATATTTTTCCCAACAGAGTGAATCGTCTTCTCAGCGACTATCTTTGGTCCATTGATTGAGTTGTTTGCGTAGACTGACTATAAGAAGGTTGTTTGCACGGACCTTTAGCGACACCGTGTGACGACTCTGTTCGATCCAACCCTATACCTATTGAAAATAAACATAAACTAATTCTGTTGTTGAAGCAGTTAGTTGTTAGATATATCATGGGTGCAAAAGTAGATGTTATATTTGATGGGGAAATCAAATAAAAAGATACAAAACAACAGAAAGGGGACCATGAAATCAAAGAATCGTATTGGTCAGATGGAACGCATGCGTAAAGACGCTCCACTTTCTTGGGGATGTTTGTTTTGTTGCCGTTGGTAGGCCGGCAAACTCCTCGTCAATGACTTAAGCGAACACAGCACCGCCCATTCGCCCGTGCTTGCGAGAAACCCAACGTACTCGCTGTCAAATCAAGCTAGTGACCACATCAGCTTGGAAGCGTCCGCCGGCTCAGAGACTGCTGGCTCATCTATCGTTAGCTTTTGTTACAATTCGATACGGTTTTATCGATAACTTACACGTTTTGAGAACTGTTATCATATTCTGTCGTGATTTGTTGATCTCATCTTTGCTTCCCGCTGACAATGGCTGATCCTAAATACGCAAACTTGCCTGGAATTGTAAGTGGCTAATGCTAGCAGACAGATTAGCTATATTGCTATTTGGCAACGCTAGCTCCAAGCTGTGGCAGCCAAGTTCTCCAACGTCCGTGTTGTTGACTCAGTTGTCTTTTTACTGTCTGCAGTTACAATATAATCAATAACTGAATATTTTGAGTTGCTAGCTTTTCTGGTAATGTGGTGTTGTGTGATATATGATCAAAGATGGTTTGTTATATGCGTGTTGTTGAATGGGCCGGGGCGTTGGCCAGGCTAACGACAATAAACGGGACATCTGATCGTTTAATAATAATGTTAACCTATTTGTTTTAATAGGCCTTTAACGAACCGGACGTGTACGAGACCGGTGACCTTCCAGAAGATGACCAGGCTCAGTTTGAGTCGGTAAGTGGACGTGTTACATTCAGTGGATTTGTCAAGTTGCAGGTTGCACTGTTACTTGGCTAATTCGCTGCACACTAAGCTAACCTAACTAGCTAACCAGTGTTTATACTTGATATTTCGGTCAAACTACTGATTTCCTCATTTTGTTCAATGTGCATTACACCTACCACAAATAAATATCTCGTCATGTAATGACTTGCTTTACTCTTACTCAACATACATGGCAAAAAACTGATTACAGGTTTGCAGGACTTTATTCATGCATTAGTTATGCACAAGTAGTCTGATGCCACCTAATTTTATTTACTGAGCTGTTATTTGTGATGTTTAAATTCAACAGAATCCCTGCATTTGTGTTGCCTTTACTAACTGTAGAACACATTTATAAATGCTCTTTGTCTTATGTCAAAAGTTGCAAGAAGGCATCTACACTTATTCATTGAGACTCATGAAGTCCAGAGGTGGCTATACACTAACTTGTCAGTTTATTAGGTACACCCAGCTAAAACTAATGCAGTCTAATATAACAGTCATGCAATCAACACTACCTTCATGAAGGTTTTAATGTTCAGTATTGTTTTAAACTTTATTCATTTTAGCTGGGTGTTCTTAATAAACCCACAAGTAAGTGTATAAACAATGCTTGACTTGATGCTTTATGAATCATTTGTAATTCATAAGAAAAATATAAAGTTTTCAAAAAATTATGTAGGAGTATATTTGGTTCATATTTAATTCCAGATATCAGGCTGCCTTTTTCGACTTAATGTTTAACATATCTTCCATATGTCATGCATATCAGTATAGCTTATTTACACATGATCTTTAACACTAAGTCATCTGGATTCAATGATGGCATTGCTAGAGTTCAGTCTTCTTTAACAGTGCTGTCGAGAAATGCTTTGTAAACAGTCAAGCTATGCTAAACCGACTTTGCTTTAAACATGTCTGGGCTTTTTACTGACCAGCTGAGTGAATCCTAATTGGCATTTTCCCTTCCATGTGTCCACATTCGTTCTTCCCATACCCTTGCCCTTGTTTTGACTCTTCCCCACCCTTCCTGGGACTCTAGTTTGTACAAGTAAGACTGGCTGCATTTTACTCTCGGCGAGCTTAAAGCCATGCTTTTTATGCATGTTTTTTTGAAAATCTCATGTCCACTTTTCCTACCTCTATTGACTGGGATTAAATGAGAAATACATTAATGAAGTGACCTTTTTGTGCTCTGTAATTCATCAATTTTTGATTGTTTTGAAGTGCAAGAAACTGATTCTTTTCCTCCTATTTGTGTTGCTTATTTAAACTTTTCAAGGACATAATGTTGATGGCTCTTCAGTACCACTAAAATTCACGCTTTCACTCTGTCATGCTTTGACAAAGCAGTGAAGGCTCAAGTCTGTGTCTGTGTGAGTGTGAGGCTCTGAAAGGAGAAAGAAAAGTATTTGTTTAGTTGTTTTAGACATTTCCCTTGTTAACCTGTCATCATGCTCTAACAACTGCTTCCTGGCTAACCACACTATTCTGACTAACTAGACATTTTTAAGGCCCCTGTATACTGTGTGATAACATGTTGGAGGTTCATCGCGTGTTATGATAAAAATTTGAGTCGCTGTCTGCGTTAGATATTAATTTTGAGACATGTCAGATTGTTCAATGAATAGCTGGTGAATCATAGCATTATGATGTAAATAGAAAATAAATGCAAACAAAAACAAGCTGCCAACTTCACTTTAATATTGTGAAAATGCAATTAGACAAAAATTAAGCTTTGGCCGTGGTCTTGGCGTGGTCTCATGTTATTTTATAATAAATAGAAGTTGGCTCAGTATGTCCCTAATTTCATGTCATATTGTGATGATTGGTTTTTTAATGCTTGTCATAGCGACAATCATGTTGAAAATTTGGTCACAATTTTTAACACTGTCATATCTTTTGATGCAGCCTTTCTTTGTCATAAAAGATATTCCATTTGTTTGGGACAGCCCAGAATCACACTGTGTACAGGGGCCTTAACTTGGATATACTTCATTAACTGCTATACTTCAGTCTGGCAGATTTATTTTGTATAACTACATGTTAATAAGAATGATTTATGATCGATATCAATCTCTGTAATAGAACACATTTTAGATTTGTCAGGCCTTTTAGTTTTCTTGACTTTTAGGCACCCTTAAACCACCAGTTACCCTTCATTCTGACTCATGATTTTTTTGTTTTTAAACACCAATCCCCTACATCCATAACATAATGTTGTGAGACCTACAATGCCCTCCATGAGAGCATTTGGTTACACTGCATTATAAAGTACAACATGGTGTCAAAAAGAGAAAGTAACTTGGTGGTGTTAATGGACCATCATACCACCCTGATTCGGGGAAGAGAGAAAGAACTGGAGACATCACAAGCTCTCTGAACAGAGTGTCTCCAGGGTTTTTAGCAGCAATTCTCAGAACACTGCTTTCTTTCTTATCTTTCCCCGACCCTGGCCAACTGTTCCTGTTGTGTGCATGGCATGTGATAACCACATTAATCTGTGTTGTGTCTCTCTCTCTCTCTCTCTCTCCCTCTCTCTCTCTCTCTCTCTCCCCCCTACTTTTTTCTCTCCCTCTGTTCTTCCATTACTTTCTCTAACTCTCTTTGGAAACCCAAGGAGCTGGTAAGAGCCTGACTAACTCTCCTCCTCTTCCTCCACTCCCTCCTCTTCCTCCTCCCCCCCCGACATCAGTGTGTGTCTTGTGTTCTGTGTGTTTTGTTGGTCTGTCTTTTTATCCAAATCTGTGTAAGCCTGGACTCATGTCATCTATCTGTATGTGTCAGTGGTGTTTTAATCCTACTCATAGCCTCTAGTTCATCATTTTTGATCACAGGGAGGTGTTGATCAAGTGACAGTCTTGTGTAATCCCCCAAAATCACTAATCAAAGAATCATCATTTAGAAATGTGAACGTAGTGGCTTCTAGCTTTAGTTTTGCCTTTTTCATTCATGTTAACTTAGTAGATGTATGCCATATTAGGTATATAATTTCGTAATGAGTTACATATTTTTACATTGAGAAACCTTAAGGTATTCTTTGTCAGATGACACAATCAGGCCTCGACATGGCAGTGAAATCTAATTTTACTGATCTGTCTCTTGCCTGCTATTCTAAATTATGTTGAAATCATCTGGTTCGCCCCAAATAATGGCTGTGAAGCTTTTGCAGATTTTCATGATTCATGGCCACAATTTGTGAGGGTATCAGACCTTGGTGAGCGATTATGCACCCATGGGCTCAAACGCATAATTCAGTATCTTTGAAATCATATTTCTGGTGCAATGATCAAGTGTAGGATTTCCTCTCAGATCTTACCAACCTGTCAACATATTTCACGTCTGCCTTGGGCTTCGAGCCTCTCTGCTCACTGACTCCGTAAACCAAGGTTCATTTTAAGTGTTTGCTTTCTCTATAGTCTTACATGCCCTTTATGATTTTTTGTTCATGTTTGTCTGACTTTATTTCCTGGTGTTTCCAATGACAGGAGGAGCTCTGCAGTGACAGCGTAGAGAGGATTGTGGTCAACCCCAACGCAGCCTATGACAAGTTCAAAGACAAGCACGTCAGCTCTAAGGGACTTGGTCAGTTTCTAATGAATGAAAAATCACATTTAACTTATCTATGAATGTTAACAAGTGTTGTCTGTGTATCTAAAGCAGGATATACTTTATTTCTCTGTGCCATCGACCTCCATTGTTGTACACAAATTATTACAAACACATCAATTAGTCAAACTGTTGCGCAGGGAGAGAAGATCCTACATTAGAATTTAACATGGGCACAGTGGTTTATTTTAAGTAGATCCCGTATACTAATTTTACCTGGAGCACTGAATCTGCAACTGAAAATAGTCCTCAGCAAATATATATATAAACTACAGAAAACAGTTGTTCAAGAGTTTTAAGTTGTTGAAAATGAAAATGTACATTCATGACTCATTTTTAAATTTACATCTTCAGTAGGAACAAATGGGATTGGGACAGGATGAGGAAGTCAGGACTAACACAATTGGTTTTGGTTTCTTTATGGGATTTGTTGACAATAACAAAACTATAGAATATCAACAGCCTTATACATTTAATAACTTATTATGGTAACAGAAGTTAAACAGAAGGGCAGCATTGCTATGAGTGAGGCTCAGGATTGAGAGTCGCCAACAAATACATTGTGTATAGTAACTATTATTATCATAAACCATTCCTTCATCAACATGCTTCACAACTCTCATGCATCACACCATCCTTTATTTTCAGATATCTTGCCTTTATCAGTGTCATGTCTGTGATGGTTTTGCTGTTTCCTTTTATATATCAGTCATGTGACTAAATAATCACTGTAAATATTAAGTAAACAAAACAACATTGCCATCATCTTTTCAGAATAGTTTTCAAAAAATACAGTATTTAATCTTAATAGAGACAGAAATATACAAGAGAATTATGAGTGACTATAAGACTCGCAAACAGCTTCTGTTGCTTCCAAATTTTGTGTTTTCCATTACGGCTGTAACAAAACTGATCCATGCTTTTGTTGATTTAAAACCCTAAATCTTGTTCTGGCTCAGTCTGAACCTCACACTGACTGCAGACTGCTTTTTTTTTTTTTTCTGTCTTGATTTCTCTTACAACCCATTTGTCTCCTTTTCACAGACTTCTCAGACAGAATCAGTAAAAGCAGACGAGTGGGCTATGAGTCAGGAGAATTTGAAATTGTGAGTACCCTCTATTCAGCAGAAATGCATCACTTCACTTTTTATTCTTTTAGAAGGTGTTCCATTTTGAGGGTAAATCCACTATTGTGGTTTTTATTTCACTAACTACGTGTGTTTTGTGATAAACTCAAAGTGTCTGAGATGGTGTTGACTCTCTGCTAAACCCACTTTATTGTTGTGTAACATTCATACCATTATTTTCCCTCCTCTCTTGTTTTTGTTAAGCTTGGAGAAGGCTGTGGAGTGAAGGAGACGCCACAGCAGAAGTACCAGCGCCTGGTGAACGAGATCCAGGAACTCACCCAGGAGGTGGATGCCATCCAGGTAAACTGACAGCAAGACAAGCATGTACTCAAGCACACTTCTCCCGTGTCCATGAGACCTGGCAAGGGATGGTACACACTGATTATCCAGCCTAGTTAGAACAATTTCAGAAGTTTAGTATTTATGTCTGGTTCTTACTGTTGCACAGTTCTTATTGAGAAGCTGATCCAAAGCTCAGTACGGTGTGTGCACTGAAGCTTTAAATTCACTCTGAAAATGAGTTTTGATTAAAACCAGTGCAAGGAATTGCATTTCCGACTTCCAAAGACCCCACAACCCAGAAACTAATTAAACCTTGGCTGTCATTAATTCAAATGCACACAGAGCAGGGTCTGTTGCTGTATGAGTCCAGCACCAAATTCCAATTCAACCCATGAACTGGCAGTTTCAGTGACAGCATCTGGTGGTTTTGAGCTCATGCAGGTCATACTCTCAGAATATGAAGGGGGAACAAGCTGTTTTTCTGCCATAGTCTCTAAATTTAGACTTATGAAAGACCTTGTGGCAGTTGACATGCTCCAAGTGATGTGTTCTAACTGTAAAAGTCACAGACTGAGTGCTTGAGTGAGAACTGTAATGTAATTAATTTACACAGGCTACATTGACGGAGAAGTAATGGCATAGTTTCAGTTAATTTATCATTCAGTGATCACACCAGAAATCTGACTGACTGACAAAGTTGTGTCAGACAACAGATGAACATTACTTCATGAAATTTGCTTTGTCATTACTACTACTGCTACATACTGTAAATTAATTTCCTGCTGCTTTTCTGGGTCCAGGTTGCATTCATTTAATTAACCATATCATCACCAGCCGCGACAGCTTGGCTAGTATAGTTTTCTTTGCGTGTCTGTGTGTGTGTCTTCATGCCAAATGTGGTCCCCAGGACAGCTATTGTAGCGGGAACTTTTAAATATATAGATGTGTAGTTGAGCAAGGGGTTTGGAAGTAGGAAAGGGGCCATTGGGCCCCCTCTTTACGCCCCTGGCCCGCATTTGTTTTAGGCCATGGATCACTGTATCCCGGTTTTATTCATTCCTGTTTACTCTAAGACATCAGATAAAACTATAAACCATCTTGCTGAAATCACACCAGCCATGACATCAACATGTTTATGTTCCGATCCATGAGAACTCATCAGTCAACCGCTTGTCTGAGTCCAAGCAGAAGTAAACGGAGAAATGAACTGGATTGGTTATTTATCTTGGTTATCTGGCAAGAAGATCTTTTGCTGTTAGCTACATTAGCTAATCCAGATCCATGTTAAAAATACTGGAATTCCCATTTAATTCAGCTCTGTCTGAAACATAATGTCAGAAGACATGCTCTTTAAATGCCTAATACAAGAATGCATGTACGTTTTCCTTTTTTGTTATTTGGTAACGGACATATGTTCTCTGTGAGCCTGGCTGGCACAGACAGACTTCTAGTCCTCGGTTTCCTCAACCTCTGCATTGCTGTTCCAAAGAAAAAAAAAATCTTATCACTGCTTTCTAGTTACCATGGTGTCCTTTTTCTTGCAGGCTGCTACAAAGGAAACCAATGCAGAGGAGCGCCTGACCCCCGTGGTACTTGCCCAGCATGCAGCCCAGCTCAAACAGCAGCTGGTTTCTGCCCATCTCGACTCACTGCTGGGACCACAGGCACACATCAACCTGGCCGATCCAGATGGAGCGCTGGCGAGGTGAGTGGAGAGGAGGGTGGCAAGACAATAAAGCAAGAAGACAAGCATCTGGACTCTGAAACCTGATGCTACAACCTATCAGACTCTGACAGAGTGATGAGCTAGTAGGAAGAGAATGGATGGAGAGAGGTAGAGATCAACAATAGATCGTCAGAGAGAGTAGCAGGGGAATTAATTTCACTGTCCTGTGGACTATAACTCTTATATAAGGAGGGAGAGATAAGGAAAAAGCAGTACAGCTGGTATCAATTGTCCACATTACCCCTCTCAATCCAAGTGTAGCACTAACTAGGGAGCACAAGAACTGATGGATTGAGAAATAAAAACTGGACAAGGTGAAAGATTAAGTGAGAGAAGGGATAGAGGGAGTAGAAACATGTCAGCCCAACTGAGCGTGAGGGAGGGGAGCTGATGATAGAGAGGGAAAGAGGCCGTGACACAAGTGAGGGATGAAAACTGTTCCAAAAAGATCCAGGCTCACATTGACCTTGAAGTTTACTACAGAGCGTGTAAAGACTGGAAGTAAGAGAGAAGGAGGAACATAGATATGGCAGCACATGGGGCTGATAACAATATTGAACATATAATCCTTTTGTGTCTCCCTTTCCCTCCATCCCGCAGGCGTCTGCTCACCCAGCTGGAGGCGGCCAAGGGCAGCCGTGTCTGCTCTGCAGGAGACAGCAAGCCGACGGCATCAGCCAAGGGCCCAGATGGAGTGGTACTCTATGAGCTACACAGCAGACCAGAGCAGGAAAAATTCAACGAGTCTGCCAAGGTAAAGTGGAAAGGGAGATGGAGGCAGCAGAGTCAAGTGTCTGGGATGAATGCACGCACAAAATGAGCAAATGTTTCAGCGGTATGATCTCCTCAACGTGTTTTTGTTTTAATTCTCATGAGAGCAATGTGAGAATATTTGATGGCAATAAACAAGACAAAAGGCAGAGAGGTATGTGTGTGGCTGTGTGTGTGTGTGTGTGTGTGTGTGTGTGTGTGTGTGTGTGTGTGTCTTTTGGGATATTGTTGTCATTGCCAGCCATGTGTTGCCTTGTTCCGTCCCTGTAGATGGCGGAATTGGAGAAGCGTCTAGCTGAGCTGGAGATTGCTGTTGGCTCAGGATCAGACAAGCAGGTACACAGAGACTCACAGTCTTTCCACACATACATCCGCTTTAATGCTTTTCTGTCTCATTCACACTAATTCTGTTTATCTCCTTTGCTGTTTCACTCTCACACCAGAAGAATTTTCATGCTTCTTTTGCTGTGTAGCCATCCACACAGTGACACTGAAATAAAATCTTCCACTTGGTGTATATAAATTATGGCGGTGGCTTCATTGCCGCGTGTTAAAATGTGCTGTTCCTCTTTGTGTTTATGTTGCAGGGACCTCTGAGCACTGGCGTACAAGGAGCTAGTTTGATGGTAAGAAGTTGACCGCTTTCTTTGAAATACACTGTGTGTGGAGTTTGTCTGTATTCATAACTGTGTGTCTGATGTGCAGCCAGAGAACTGGGTCATACTTCAAAGATGACATCAGCTTCCTCCAACTTTGTTTATTGCTGCTGTGCCAATAGTAACTTATATATATGTGTGTGTGTCTGTGTGTGCTTTTTTTTATCAGGACACCATAGAGCTCCTGCAGGCAAGGGTCAGCGCGCTGGATTCTGCTACTCTGGATCAAGTGGAGGCAAGACTGCAGGTAACTCATTCCCGCACAGTGTGCAGCGCAGGGTTAGGGGGGAAAGGGAGGCTTTGGGTGTTAATAGACTGCTCAGTTGCAATTTGATTATGTTCTGATTTGTACAGTATGTCTCCGATAGAAGCCTTTTTGTTTTGAAGGAAAACTGAAATATTTCAAGCAGTCTGTCCGTTTTGCTCAGTATTTCACATGTTTATGTTCAGTATAGAGATACATGTGGGATGTGCCAGAGGGAACAGCTAGCCTAGCTTTGGCAAAAGTTCTGCCCAGCAAATATAAAGCTAACTTCTATATGCGATGTATCTTGTCTATCTAACAACTGTAAAAAGAGAAAACAGGACATAGAACTTTCCTTTGCAAGCCGTTTCATGTACACGTATTAGTATCTACTGTAAGTTGCTGGCTAAAAAGAATCAAAGTGGATAAAGTTTTGGGGTTAGTGGAAAGTATATTTCTCCATTTCAATAGCAGCAGTGCACATATATTTTGTTCATTTCCTTTTTTCATTTTATGGTGATGGGACATCACTTGACAGCGGTTAGGCAGTTTACTGCAGTTTAAGTACTACAATTCTTTGTCAAACAACCTCACACGCTGGTGGATCATTGAAACTTTGGGAGAGAGGAGTACATTTGCTTTGTGGTGAAATACTGATAAATTTCTTAACAGTTGGAAAATGTCACATTGCCATTGGGTTACATGTGGTTCAGCCATGAAACACTGTCAGTTTACCGCAGCATTGACAGTTCCCTGATCAGTTTTGTTTTTCTTTTTTATCTATCTGAATGTCCTAAAATTACATCTCTTGCAAAATCATAATAAATAACTTTTTTTCTCTCCCATTAGAGTGTCCTTGGCAAGATGAATGAGATTGCAAAACACAAGGCAGCGATTGAGGATGCTGATACACAAAACAAGGTTGGTAATCCCTGTATATCCAGGCAAACTAAGTGCTGTAATCATCCCAGATGCATTTATACTCTGTGAGTGGAAACTCACAACTTCCATACAGTCCACCTGCAGTTCATTGCCAAGCACTTTCAGATGGAAGACTCTCCTGGCAGATACCTGCAATCATAAGAGCTGAGATGTTTTTGTCAGAAGTTGTATAATATATCCATCAATCTTTTAGCCTCACATAAATCCATTTTGCCAGTTCTCTCTGAGTGACAAGGAATTCATTTTGAAAACCTCCACTAAGAATTTACAAAGTCAAGCCATCCTGAATTTCTATCATCAGGCAATCAGTCTTTTTGCTAGTTTGTTCATTTTGAGACAGTACCTCAGATCCAGCTGTAGTATCTGCATGATGTCCTGGAAGATGTTTTCATGTGTCTGTTTTAGGCATTAACTGTTAAGTGTTTTACCTTTAATAGGCCAGTAGAGGGCAGGTCATGTTAATTTTATTATTAGTATGTATGACAAAGTAATTCAAAGTGGTTTCATTTTAATTTTGAGGTTACTGTACGTGGTTGTCATAGGCTTTGAGAAAATACTATAATTATAGTTTACTGAATAGGAAGTGAGACATCATTACTTTTAAAAAGAATTAGAATAGTACAAAAGCATGCTGTAATGTGAGATTATATATAATGTCATTGAACCCTCAATAACTGGGCTCATGTCTTTAGCCATAAAATACAAGTGGAATTGGCAAACCACAGTTTGAAGGCTGTTTGTAGCATCAGCACTTTCCAGTGTATCGGTATGTAAACTGAGTGAACAGATGGTCTGAAAAAAGTTGTAATGAGGGCAGACCTCGAGTTGTGTGAGATGTATTTCTAACCTTAGGTACCACACCATCGTGGAGTGTTTGAATGTAGGTGTTGATGTTAGTCATAAAATGCAGGTGGGCAGTCCCCTGCTCAGACGTAGACTACATGGCAAAATTGTCATAGTAACACTGTGTTGATTATATACCGAGTTGTATGAACTCTTTAATAAGTGTACATTTATATCTTTTACAGTACAATGAGTAGCACATCATTGCACTCTATGGCAAGTCTGTGGCCTTTTATAAAATGAATCTGTCCTTTTAGCTGGATGGATTTTTCTTGGTATTGAATATGTGTGTTTTCCTGTCAGGTGTCGCAGCTCTATGACGTGGTGCAGAAGTGGGATGCCGTGTCCACTTCTATACCTCAGGTGGTGCAGAGGCTTGTTGCTGTTAAGGAGCTGCATGAGCAAGGTAACACACAGGAACTGAAACTGGTTTATAAGGTTGTAGCTGTAGACTTTGTTCGTCTCCTCACATAAGTCCCTAAGTCATGAGACAACATTAGTTATTGAGGTGTTTGGAAGTGGGGGAGTTTACTGTCACATCACTTTACTCCATAACATTAAATGAATGTACTGGTGTTGAGTAATTGGTTCATATTGCAAATATTGTAATAATATTGCTCCAGGGGCAGATTTCACCCCAGTAAGGATAATAACAATGAAAACTTGGATAATTTATGTTCCACTCTTTTATGTGAGGGGAGAAGAACCTTGAAATGACACCCATGAGAGTTCAAGGAGAGGATGTATGTAGGTTAGTGGGGGTGGGGAGTAGCATTAAAGATTCAAAATATGTAGGATGTAGAAACTGAACATAACAGGGTGTGAACCCGGATCATGTTTCAAACAGCATTCGTGCTGGGAAGTAATACTTGGCTTGAAAGATTTGCATCCGCAATGGGGACGTCTGTGTGTGTGAGACAAAAGATGAAAACTAAGCGCAAATGGGATTCAAACGGATAATGGAATTAGCCTAAACCATGCCATTCTATTATAACAAAGGGCAAAAAATCACTGAAAGGGAGACTCAAAATGGTAATAGAATTAGACTAAATCTTGCAGTACTGTTAAACACCCCCTTGGGGAGAAAGAGATGCATGATATTATATATCACATTATCATCTTTTTATTATTTAGCACATGAAAGCAGAACCTTGGCATTAATAGATTATATTGATAATTCATTTCTGAGAGCTGAAAGAGGTCATTTATCATCCAGACTCTCTTTGCACCGATCTGTCACAGTCTGCAGCTGAAGTCTTCCTCGCTCAATAGGGTTTAGCTGCAGTGATTTCTTTCTTCTCTCCTGATGAATGCAAGCAAGCAAAACCAAATACTTTGTTTAATCTTTCAAGCAGTCATTCATCAGTTTCAGATTAAAATTGCATGTTTCTACTCTGCTTCACTTTGACTAAGAGCAAGAACAACATAGCATTTTTTTAAAGCACAAATGTTTAAATTTGAGAAATAATACTTTGTCTTACTTATTTCTCCTCCCTCTCTCTCCTCTCCTGCCTTTTTGATTTCACTTTGTCCCCCTCCCCATCTCCCTCCCTATCCTCATCTCATAGCCATGCAGTTTGGCCAGCTGCTGACCCACCTGGACACCACTCAGCAGATGATCAACAACTCTCTGAAGGACAATAACACCCTGCTAACACAGGTGGGAAGTTCGAGCTCTATTGAACACGTGAGACAAGATAAATATTTTAGAATGCTATTAGAGTGAGGAACTTCCTTTTGACCACTTACATCTTCATCTCATGTGTGAGCTACAACACCCATGGGAGCACTAGGTTGAGTATAACTGTTAAATGAGGCCAGTGGAACTGCATGTTTGTGTCACTGGTAGGTCAACAAAAAAAAGATGGCTAATGGCAATCAGAATCGTGTTGCAGGAAGTAATCTCTTCATCTACTTCAGTGTCTGCACTGCATCTATTAAATTGAATTTGCATACAGAAGACAGATTTATGTAAAATATATTTAATAGGACTGCATCTGTTGATTATTTTTTATCATCAGTGTTTTGTCCAAACAACTTAATTCAGATATTTAATTTGCAATGATAGAAAACAGAACATTTAAAAGGCTCTATTGTACACTTTTACATGCAACTTTCCCTCACAGCTTTACTTCCTTCTCTCTTCATCTCTGTCACTTCTTACCTAACTTTTTGTCCCCTCCCCCCAGGTCCAGCAGACAATGAAGGAAAACCTGGTGGCTATAGAGGAGAACTTCGCTGCACTAGACCAGCGGATGAAGAAGCTCTCCAAATAAACGATGGCAGAGTTTGGGCCGGTCCAGGAGAGTGAAGAACATGGACAAATAAGCGTTGGCTAGAGAGCACAGAGAGGGGATTGGGATTTAAGGCTTTCCTTTCTGGCTGTCCCCCTCTCTTGCTCTCTACTCCTGCCTCTGCCTTTTTTCACAAAGTGGAATGTTAGAAAGTTGGAAAAGACGGAATGACAGAAAAAAAAAAAAAAGGAGACCAAATGTTCTAGTCCACCCTCCTTCCCTCCTCCTTTCTCTTGCATCAAATTGATATCAACTGAAAACACTTTTCTCCACTCTATACATGCCACTGATTGCAGTCCCCTGTTGAGCTTATTGAGTTTTAGACTGGATTGTTTTTATAATTATTAGTATTAAACATAAGAAATTCTTCCATTCCTTTGGAACCTCACACTATTACTAGATTTGTACTGTATACTTTGGTCAAATTAAATGGATCACAGTAATGTTGGGTTGATGGGTGACACACTTAAGATGTTGTCAACTGTGTAAAGAAAAATCAATATCTATTGTCCTGTAGTGTTGTAGCAGGAGCACGTTTGTGCGGGTGTCAGGGCCAAGTGACGGAAGGAAAGCTTGTAAATATGCCTGTGTACCTTATTGTTTCTTCACGCTCAGTCGCTTGTAACTATATTATTATGACTGAGACCAGACGCCACAGGCAAACTTTTAATCTGCTTTGTCATTGCCTACAAGTCAACTGTATTGTTCATCTGTGGTGATGGAAACTGATCAATAAATAAAACAAAGTGCGATAAGCTTGGCTTGTTTTGTTTCATGGATGACTTTTTTGTTTTTTTTAATAATTTTATCATTGACCTCATTCTTGTATCAGCTGGATGGAAAATATAAAAATGAATTTCACTAAATTATTGAACGTATTTTACAGTATGTTGTTTTTTTTCCCCCCATTTTATAGAGCATGTGGACGTGTTTTCAGCCAGATGCCTGAACAGTGTGAAAAATACCAGATGAATGTACGGCTGATGCAAGGTTACACACTACCTTCTTCAGTGCAGGTATGAGCACAAAAACAAGCTCCTGTTAATGACCCTTCAGCCGAAATATAGCCATGGTAGTTTGTAATGTAAAACACTTTTTATATACAGTTAAAGTTTTTAAATCATATTTGCTTTATCCATCCAATTCCGATCTGTTACACAAACAGGTGCTCAGGATCTTTCAAGAAAATACGGTTTGTGGTTTCTTTATTATAAAACACTTGTTATGCCCCTTTGTGAACAATAGGTGGCAGCATAGCATGTAATAAAAAAAAATAAAAAAAAGGCCAAACACACTGTACAGATATTCAGCTTTCAAAGATATTAGTGCAAACTACTCAGCCATACCAGCATACATTTTCTGTCCCATCAAAACTCCCTTTAGAAATAATTATCACACCCTTAAAATGCTGATTTCCTTAAAATCCAGTTTGTATTTATAATAATTATCCCTAAAAGAAAAGTAACCTGACATTCCACACCAGCTAGATTTAATGTGGATAGAAAATGCTAGTTTTAGTGTATATGACACTATGAAAGAACTACATTTAGCATATTGAGATATTTAAAAACTTGGGGTTGCCAGGGTTCATGTCCGGCCAGTGACCTTTGTTGGACGTCATTCCTCGTCTCTCAACTGTCAGCTCTCTTAATAAAGGTATAACAATGTCCCAGTAATAATCATTGTTTTCAAAAAGTACTTGTTAGGCTCATTGTTCTGAAGAACTGAAATCAAACAAAACATCTATTCCTACTGTGAACACACCCACAGTTGTACTTGACACTGAATGAAAAACATACAGCAGAGTGAATTCAGACACAAAGAAAATGAAGAAGAAACAATAAAGCATCCAGGTCAGTGAGATCAAATTGGTGATTTTACATATATCGGGACGTAGTCTGACGCACAGTGTGAATTAACAGAAGGAACTCTGTGAGGTCAATCTCAAATCCGTCGGGCATTAGTAGGTTTACGGAAACCATTAGAACAAAAAGCTGGCTGATGTTTGATGTCAGGTGATGGTATTGGTGTCAAAGGCAGCCACATAACATACAGTAGGGTAAAGATCAGGTACTTCTGATGAGTCATCCAGACACAGCAGCTCCTGTGAGATAAGTTACCACCGCTGCGAGTCGCCACGAGCGGATTAATAGTTCACTCGGATGCAGAGAGTTGCCAAAAGAAACACACAGTCAGCCTATCAGTTTCGTGATAGTTAGCATAGATTACTATAATGTCCTCTTTAGGTGAATAGAAACATGTTTGATCATGTCTGCCACTGGATAGTTTAGCTCTGAATTAGATAACATATGGTAAACTGCTGCCATTGATTTCTCCTATATTTTAGCTGAGTATTGCACTGAAAGGATTAAGTGCTGAGTATGGACCCCCACTTTCTTTCCATTTCTCCCACTTGAGCTGAAGACTGACTTGCTTGGATAGGACATATCAAGTGTGGCTTACAGGGAATTAGATCCAGAGCTCCAACTTAGAAGGGAATGCCCCAGATGAGCACAGAGACATACCCTGTACTGTATATCATGTTGTACTGCATTTGTCCTTCTATTTTGGGTGTATGAGATTGGGTGAGCCCAGCCCCATCTGTTAAGAAACATTTCCCTCAGTAACCAACCGAGGATTTACCAAGGGTTCAGCTCAAAATGTTGTTAACAATGGCGTTAAGTATTACAATTTTATGTCAGACTGAAGCTCTCCCTGTGGCCCTGAATACGAACCAGGATAAAAGGTCAGTGAATGAATGAGAAAGACAGAAGCCTGATTGAAAGATAGCTGATTTTAACAGTAGGGTGTAAATCCAAACAAAAATTCTTAGAGAATTTTTAGTAACAGAAAGTGCAGCTACTTTATATTTATATATCAGCAGCTTCCACCAACCTTTACTCCACTGGGCAAAGTAAATATTTAAGTCCTCTGGCAGCACAGAGCAGCTGAACAGAGAGGCTGTAGAGAGCACCAATTGCTCCAAAATCTGTTTCTGGAAAACTAAAGGGAGAGGAAGAGAAGGATGGTGTGTGTGTGTGTGTGTGTCTCTCTCGCTGCCAGAAAACCCACCTGTTTAGACCAGCTTTTAAAGTGTAATGTCCTACAAACCCTTGTTGGGCTTGTTTTTTTTTTTGTTTTTTTTGCCTATACCTGTTTTTCTTATATTTTAGCTTAGACACGTCAGTGCCAAAAAAAAATGAAGAAATCGAGGCACTGATAGTTTTAGATGATGATAATAACATGAGATACTGTAACCAAAATCATGTAAATAACTTGAGGGAAACAGTCATTACAATGTCATGTGATTAAATATTTAAAAAAAATTCCAATTTAATTTACAACACAAATATTACCTGTACTTCAGCAAACAATAGAAACATTTCTAATAAGATCAATGCTGGAAATAAAATGGAGGCAAGGAAAAACAGGAGCAGAGAAAGAACAACTGACAAAATCAAAAGTAAGCTATGGAGAAGAGAGAGCAAATCACACAAGGGCCTCTGCATCAGTTTCATCAGATTGTCCTGAATGAGTGTGGACAGGTGAAGAGCCTGTGGTGAAGCAGAGAGGAGGACAGGAGGAGAGGGTGGAGGTAAGCGGAGTAAAAACAGGGTGGATGCCGTTGTGGGGCAGAATGAGGCTCGTAGCGAATAACAAAAGGGGAAGACGGAGATGGTCGGGTAAAGATAGGTGACACTCAGAGGTGAACGGGGTTTAACATGCGTAACAAGATTGTCTGCAAAGTCGTCCTAAAGCTCCAAACAGAGAAATCTCAACAAGTGGATGTGACATTTGGCTGGATGGGACAGGAAGGGACTGAGTGGACGGTTTGTTGACTCTCAAAAATAAACCTGAAATCACTTCTAACTTCACAGGCATTTGCTGCTTTGTGTGAATGCTGGATGTGTTATTGTAAAGGAAATCATTGATGGGGAACCTCTTGAGGAAATAAAATGCAAATGATTAATGGGCATCATCAGACAAAAAGAGAATTGCAATATTGGCCTCGGCTGCAATGGACATTGGCAAAAGAGATGAATGCAGTAACAACGGGGACCTTAAGCTTAAAGACAAAGTGCTGTTAGTCATAATTGTTGGCAAAAAGCCCCATTTATATTGCCTTCAAATCTCATCCACGTATCACTGCCACTCTGAACTTTGAAATTACATTTCACCTAATACACACAACCAGAGATTTTAGAGGTTTTAGAATATTTCTTTCCCAGATCTCACTGATAGGCCAGAATTTCTGATAAAGGTGAGGAGGTCTTTGTCAGAGACCCAGAAAAAGAAAAAGAGCTGAAACTCACAATGAGAGAGACAAGCCAAGATAGAGAGAGAGAGAAAAAAGGATTTACTGTATCACCAGTACATGTTAACAGCTGTATCAGTTGGTCTCAGTTCAGAGAGGGGAAGATTTCCGACAGGGCTGGTGTGTGTGTGTGTGTGTGTGTGTGTGTGTGTGTGTGTGTGTGTGTGTGTGTGTGTGTGTGTGTGTGTGTGTGTGTGTGTGTGTGTGTGTGTGTGTGTGTGTCAGGGGGAGTTGGGTGTGGAGCCTTGACCAAGGGCACAGGACAGAAAGACGGGAGTGTGCGGTGGTGACTGGAAATTCCCCGGACTCTTTCTGTGTGTAAAAACAAACGAAAACGATAGATTGGATTTTGTGAGGATAATAACTCAAAACATTAATAATCACCACTGTCAATTTTCTTCTTTTTTTCAATTGCTGATTGTTGATTAAATTCCAAACACCAGCATTTGTTCTGAACCACAGTGGCATCACAACAAAGAAAAATATATTCTTGTCCACACCATGTTGAGAAAAAAATCATTTTTCCTAGCTATTCTCATCATAGAAATGTATTGTGTTGTTAAAAAATCATATATCTATATCTGTAGATATATAGATATTATGTTATTACAGTCTGGTAAAGTTATGTGGGAGGGACTGGACTGTTTCTTGTTTTGGTTGCATGATATGAATATATGATGTAATATATGACACAGTTGTGTAGTGATTGTGTAGGTCTGTGAATCAATTAGAATTTTTTTTTCTCCTGTTATTTATGACTGGGCAGACAAAATGTATTTTGTGAGATTAAGCTACAACCCAAGGAAACATTAAAGCAGCAACATAGCAACTCAAATCTCCTAATACAACCATTAGTAATGACTAAATCTCATCT